GCTCGCGGAGCCTCGTCACTATCTTCCTCGCCAAGTGCGTCTTCCCGGTGCCCGGCAGGCCCGTGAGCAGCAGGGAGTTGCCGGCCGCGCAGTGCTCCACGGGGTCGTCCGCCTCGTTCCACCGCCTGAACGCCGGCCGCTCCGCTTCCATCCACGGCGGCCTGCTGCTCCCCAGCAGTGGCTTCGCTTCTTCCACGCGGTAGATCGGCGTGCCGTCCTCGTGCCGCAGGGCCTCGCACGCCTCCAGGCGCGCCAAGTAGCGTTTCGGCAGTCCCTGGGTCAGCAAACAGTCGGTCTTCACTTGCTTCAGGTAGCGGGGTGGTGCGTCCAGGATGTGCCGGGCCCTGGCCACCATGCAGTGCTCGAAGCCCAGCACCGCGTCGTGGATGGGGGCGGTGGTGCCGTTGCTGAGCAGCCGCCGCGAGTAGACGAAATCCCACACCACGCCGCCCTCGTAAGGGAAGGCCTGCCGGAAGTCGGCCCTCGGTCCGTCCAGCTCGCTGCTGCTGCTGCGAACGCTGTAGACCACCTCAGTGCTGCGGGCCCACAGGCCGATCATCGCGTTCACGCTGAGCTTGGCCATGTGCTCCTCGCCCTCCGGCCAGGCCGCGTCCATGCGCTCGAGGGCCTTCTCAACGTTCCGGCCCCCACGTGGCTTCGCGCGGAGATGCCCAGCGGGATGTGGTCCCAGCGGCAGATGCCCATGTCCAGCATTGCGGCCAGCGACACCTTCGGGTACCAGCCGGGCCCCACGTAGGGCAGCAGGCGGAGCGGCGACTGCCGCGAGTCGCAGAGCCTTCCACGAAGCCCAGGTCCGGCAGCACGCCCTTCACGGGCTCGATGCCGTCCGCGGGGCATAAAATCGGCAGGGGGAAGGGGGCGTTGGCTAGCCCGTTGCGGCGGCATCGCACCACTCGATGCCGACGTGCGTCTCCTTCTTGCATGTTTGCGCTTCGAACACCAGCGGCGGCAGCTTGGGGCTGCGGGCGTAGTGCTCCATCACCCCCGGCGCCATGCGGCTCTCCAGGCTGGTGGGTTGCGCGCTCTCCCGCAACGTCTTCTCGGCGTGGCAGTCGCCGCACAATGCCTGCAACCGTTGCTCGCTGCCCGCGAACAGTTGCCTCACCGGGACGATGTGGTCCAGCTCGCAGGTCAACGCGGTCAGTCCGCGGCCGCACAGCGCGCACTTGCCGCCCTGGCCGGCCAGGGTCCTCTGCCTCTCCGCCGCGGTGGGCACCTCCTTTTGGCCTTCAGCAGCTTCAGGAAGACCTCCTGAGTGAGCCCCGCCAGGCGCTGGCCCCGGTACTCCTGCCCCAGAGCCTCGCACCAGCGGCGCAGCAGCTCGTGCTCCTCGGGCAGCTCGCGGATCCTCGCGCCGCACCGCAGCCTCAGCCCGCAGAGCTGGGTCGGGCTGCTGATTGCCACCTTGGGGCTGCGGCCGGCCGCCATGAGCTGCCGCCGTGCCTCGCGGAGGTCCTCGCACCAGAACAGCCCCGGCTCCACGTTCGCGGGGTCGAACCGCTTCCACTCGCCGATCGGCGGCAGCGTCTGCCTGGCTTCGCCGCGGTACAGTATGCGCATCGCCTGCCGCTCCAGGACCCGCTTGACCGCCCTGTACATGTAGCAGTGCCCGTCGAAGGCCAGGAAGCACACGGTGCGGTGCTCCTTGAGTGCCGGATCGTAGCTGTCCAGGAGGTCGCCCTGCGAGCTCAGGAACCGCATCGGGGCGTTGTGCCACACGCAGAACTCGCGGATCTCCTCGGCGGAAACACCCCAGGAACGCCAGTCATGGTCCAGCATGGCGTCGAAGTCGGCGCACACCTCCTCCACGCTCAGCTGCAGCAGCTCCGCCAGCTGCCGGGGCACGCACAAGGGCTTGTCCTCGAAGGCGCTCGGCAGCACGTCCTCTTCGCATGGCAGCTGGAAGCTCACGCCCCGCAGGCCCCGCATGCGTTGTCGCAGGAGCGTCTCGACCTCGGTCCTCGAGTTCCTGTATTGGGTGCTCTGAGTGCTAACCACCCAGCGCCCCTCGGGGTCCAGAAAATAGGTCTCGTCCGAAAGCTGGAGGATGGGCCCGGCCGGGTCCCGCAGGGACGTCTCGACCTGCCTCCGCACCCTCTGCGCCACCTGTTCCTCCGTCAGCCCCGCCGGGTGCCGCGTCATGGCGCCTCCCAGCTCGTTGATGGGCAGCCAATCCTTCCGCTCGTAGCCCGCGCCCGCGTTCCGGCCGCCGCGCCGCCTGCCGCGGATGATCACCGGCACGTGGACCAGGTATTCGTAGTACTTGTCCCGGAAGAATCCCTTCCCCAGCTTCGTGAGCCGGTGCTCGCCGTCCTCGAGCGAGCGCACCAGCTTCTTCTGCCCGTTCCGCAGCAGGATGTAGTCGTTGGGGCCCTCGCGGATCAGCGGCTGGTTGTAGTCGAAGTCCTTGCTCGGGGGCCTGAGCCCCAGGTGCGAGTAGTAGTGCTGCCCCGCCCTCGTCAGCTGCCCGTCCGCTCGCGAGAGCAGTGCGTAGGCTCCCGGCCCGCGCCTTAGATTCAGCACGATGGCTCCATCCACCCCCGTGCGAGCCCTGGCGCCGCCGTCTGCGGCCTCTGTGATCTGTTGTCTCTGTCTCGCCCAACTTGCCATTCTTTCTCTTAGGGGGGCGGCCATTTTTTTGGTCGGACGTTGTGAGAAAAAAAAGATTGTTTTTTTTTTTGCACGCTTTGCGTGGCTGCTGGTGGTGATGCTGTGCGGTGATGCTGTGGGGGGGCTGCTGCGCGGTGACGCTGGTGGTGATGCTGGGGAATGTCGGCAGGGTCGCTGGCTGGGGCGCTGGCTTCTCGACCCCTTCAAAAAACATGTCACTTTTGTCACTTCTTCTGTGTCGGGCGCAGAGCCCCTTGAGAACGCAATGATGGCGGGTGACAAAAATGATTGAAACGGAACATCCCCCTCTGAAGGCTGTTTCCAGAAAGTTGTCACTTCTGTCACTTCTGTCACTTCGTTGATTTGCTTTCTGGGGCTACAGAGCCTATCTCCCTGCCCAGAAATGGAAGTGACAAAAGTGACAAGTTTTTTAAAACAGGTCCTGTTTTTTTCTCAACGTTTTTGCATGGGAGCTCGTGGAGAGAGGTGATGCTGCAGGGGTGCTGGGCGCTTGCCGTTTTTTTTCATGTTCTGAATCTTCGCATATGCGTGTAGCCGGATCACATGTCGGTTCAACACAAACGTCAACAAGAGGCAGAGGCTGAAGCAACAGCAGTCGGGTGCGCAGTCAGGATGGCAAGATGACAGACGGCAACGTAGGGCTGCAATACAAGACAGCAACACTCGTAGCTGCTCCTTGGGATGCTCACATCGAGCAGGCTTCATCACTGATTTCGACAATATCTCATTTTTCTGCTTCCCTTGTCAGGCCTTCCTGCAGGACTACACCGACATCCAGAAGCGTTGAACTCAGAGTAGCAGCAGTCACGTGTAGAGGGATGTCGTAACAGGCTTGGAGAAGGGTTTTTTTGTTGTGTGTCAGGATGAGTCAGCACAGCTGGTATGCAGGCGCATAGGGTTCTGTTGTTTGTCACGCCAAAAAGACGCTCGTTGACAGGTTGGACTGAAACGGAATGGGATCAAGGCACGTTCGCGTGACCTTCTGCGTGCTCATGTTGATGGGGCGTCATATGACAGGTCAAGATGATTGGTGGGGGAGCAGCAGTAGTCGCGACCCTCGGAAGCCAAGGACTGGCGTTGGCGCGCATGTGTTGTCGTGACTTTTTTTCCGTTGCAGGAGAGATGGAGCCTGGGAGAGACGGCAGGAGAAAAACAAGAAGCAAATAGAGGAACGGCTTTTGAGCGTGATGCATGGACATGGAGTCTTGCAGCTCCGAACCGGTCTTTTTTTGCGGTCAACCCCCCTAGAAATGATGTCGCCCGGCCTCCTTGGCGCACAGAGGCAAGCAGAGCAGCCCTTGCTTCATTTAAGCCCGAGAAATGCCCATGGTCTCCCGTTTTATCAATCCGTTGAATTTTTGAGAAGGAAGAACTCAAACCTGGCTTCGGAATCTCTCGTATGTGTTGCTGCAGCCATTTTTGGTGAATTTGAGACCTCTCGGGGCGTGTGGGGGACCATTTCCTCACGCTTTGCAGGCGCGGTCCAGCCAGAGCTCTGATTTCTCTAGTTGAGTTATGGCCAACATAGAGTCGTGATTTGTTTGCTGCAGGGAAAGCTGGCTACCTCATCTTGGACCCGGCTATTTTCGATCTTTGCACCTGCATCGGAGGCTGACCCTTGCGATTCTTTGTTCCTTCGCCGACAAGATTCAAGAACTCAGTGGATTGCAGTGGATTGACGTGAAGTGACCCCTGACCTTGTTGCTATCTTGGCAGGCTATGGAAAACACAGATCCTGTGCAACCAATGCCGGTGTACGACGAATCCGGAGAGAGCGAGGCTTTGTTTGAGTCATGTACTTTTCGGAGAGGTCATGGAGTGTCAGGCACACTCGAGCGACGCAGACACACTTGAGACCGAGGAGGCCGTCTTTGAGTTTTTTGTTTTTTTTCGTTAAAGACCCCATGGATGAGTGCATGTCCAAGGGGGGCCGGCTGAAATCTTTGACAGGACAAACCAACGGCCCGTGATGTCGGCTTCTCAAGTCAGGAGCCGCCGGCGAAGAGGGCCCGCTGCTCTGACGCTAAAGGCTCTGGTTTTCTGTGATGCTGTCTCACACGCCCAGACCAAAGCAGCGCTTGCATTTGGCAGGCTCGCTCCCCAAGCTCCACGACATGCGGAGGGCAGACTGTGTCGCTGAGTTCGTTGCCAGGGGCGGGACGGGCGAGGAAGGATACACAGTCGTCATGCTAAAGGATTGGCTGGCAAAGCAGCGGGCGAAGGCCGGGGGTGGGTTCTTGTTTTTCTGAATGAGTTTGAGGGTTGCCGCGGCGCTGGCCGGCAGGTAGGAGGGTGGGGGTTTGGCAAACCTGGCAAACTGGCAAACGGGGCCGGGAGGGGTTTGCCAGGCGGACACCGGCGATGCACCTGAGGGCCTGGAGGCTCCTTGGAGGGGTTTGGCAAACCTGGCAAACTGGCAAACGGGGCCGGGAGGGGTTTGCCAGGCGGACACCGGCGATGCACCTGAGGCCCTGGAGGCTCCTTGGAGGGGTTTGGCAAACCTGGCAAACTGGCAAACGGGGCCGGGAGGGGTTTGCCAGGCGGACACCGGCGATGCACCTGAGGCCCTGGAGGCTCCTTGGAGGGGTTTGGCAAACCTGGCAAACTGGCAAAGTGCCATCCCGGGGATTTGCCAGGGCCAGCAGGCCGAGGAGGAGAGCGGGGGCACCACCGAGAAGGCTTGGCAAACCCTGGTTGGCCCGGTTTGCCGGTTTGCCACGTTTGCCAGGCCCACGAGGCCGTGCAGGAGGGTGTGACCGAGAAGGCTTGGCAAACCCTGGTTGGCCCGGCTTGCCGGTTTGCCACGTTTGCCAGGCCCACGAGGCCGTGCAGGAGGGTGTGACCGAGAAGGCTTGGCAAACCCTGGTTGGCCCGGATTGCCGGTTTGCCACGTTTGCCAGGCCCACGAGGCCGTGCAGGAGGGTGTGACCGAGAAGGCTTGGCAAACCCTGGTTGGCCCGGTTTGCCGGTTTGCCACGTTTGCCAGGCCCACGAGGCCGTGCAGGAGGGTGTGACCGAGAAGGCTTGGCAAACCCTGGTTGGCCCGGTTTGCCGGTTTGCCACGTTTGCCAGGCCCACGAGGCCGTGCAGGAGGGTGTGACCGCCATTGAAGAGGCTTGGCAAACCCCTTTTGATCCGGTTTGCCGGTTTGCCACGCTTGCCAGGCCTCCAAGGGCGCCGCGACTGCCAACGAGGAAGATGTTCAGGCTTGGCAAACCTTCCCTGCTTGTCTTTGCCAGTTTGCCACGTTTGCCAGGCCTCCAAGAATGCGGCAGAGGAGGCGCTGGCGCCCGCGAAGGCGGTTTGGCCGGCCTTTGAAACGCATGCTTGTTGAACTGACCCGCAGGCGCCCATCTGGCGGAGTACGCTGGAAGACGGGCTGAGCCCAGAGGAGCGGGCCGTCTTGAAAGAGCAGATGGAGATCATGGACCAGTTGGACACTCAGTGGGAGGAGGCGCCCATCTGGCGGAGTACGCTGGAAGACGGGCTGAGCCCAGAGGAGCGGGCCGTCTTGAATGAGCAGATGGAGATCATGGACCAGTTGGACACTCAGTGGGAGGACTTCTACTCCAGGATGTTTTCGGTGTGCCTGCCGTGGGTGAAGGAGCAGGCGGATGCCAAGTTTAGAGCAGACTGTTTGCGCCACGTCTCATTTGAGGAAATGCTGGATATGTACTGCCCGCTTCGGAGCTACGATCCGTTTGATGAAAACTACGTCTTTGCGAACGAGACCGAGAAATTCGAGTTTTTTCAGTGGCAGGATAGGGTGGTGTTCCGGGTGTTGCTTGAGCGGTACACTGAGGAGGAGTGGCAAGCTATCGAGCTAGTCTTCCACGAGATCACGGGGGAGAAGATTCAGCGGCCCGTCTTCTGCGATGCACAGGTACAGACGCTCGAGATGGAGACAGACGTGAGGAAGGTCTTCATGCTTTCCCAGTCGGCCGGTGAAGTCTCCGAGCAGGAGCATCTGAAGCCTGGCGAGCCTACGCCGGTTGACGCCTTCCAAGAACACATGGTGAAGGAGCGCGTCTTGAAGGCACGGCGGATGACCTTGGAGGCGCAGATGGACGATTGGGAGTTCGATGTCACTTTGGCGGACAACCGACGGGATTTGGGGCCATTGCCGCCTTCGCCTGAGGATCGCAGTTACCAGGAAATCTTTGAGGCCATGTCGGATTCCAGAAAGCATCGGGTCATTGAGAGCTTGAAATTCCTGCGGAGTCATCTGCTGGTGAGCCGGCGGTCGGTTGCTGTGCAGACTGAGGAGCCGGCTGCTGAGGCTGAGAGGAGCGTACGTGGCTCGGTGGCTTTGCAAGTGTGCTGGACGGTGTTGGCGTCCGCGACCCTGGAATCTTGCAACCTGTCCCTCTGCTCCGGCCCCCATTACTATTTGGAGCCGACGCAAGAGAGAACCTTCCCGAACATTAAGGAGGAGGCGGTCCCACTACAGGCGCCAAAGGCCGAGAGCTTTGGGCACGGCAAGGTCTGGGTTCTGGCCATAGCCGGCAAAGCGCACAAGCAGAAGTTCGCAGCAATGCGCCGCCCCCCAGACTCCAGCTTTCTGCTGGCGGCTGATGAGGACAGGATTTGGTTCCTGCTCCACAAGGGGCGGTTCACTCGCCTGAAGTGGAGCGACTTCAAGCATGCAGCTACGGTTGCAACAGTGGCGCATGATTCTGCGGTGTCGGTTGCAGCCAAGCTCTGCCAGTGCGCAGTAACCTTGGAAGGCAGGGTTCCCCTTTTACCATTGGATTTTCTTCTGGGGAAAGTGCTTGGTTCAAGGTTGTCCGAAAAATGGAACCCTGCTGGAAGGAACCCTCCGGCTGGTGTTTGACGAGTCCATGAAGGAGCTGCCCGAGGTGAAAGTCTTGCTCGACTTGTCCGAGGACGATTTCAACATGCAGGCGGCGGAGCTGGCCATTGACTCTGACAAAAAGAACATTGCCGCATTGATTCCGAAGATCAGAAAGCTCCGGGCCGAGCGGGCGAAGAGGGCGGTGGATTTGCAGAAGGTCGGGGAGGATGCTGCGAAGGTGCTGGAGCCTTTCCATAACATGTCTGAGAAAGCGTTCCAGCAGTACATCATGGCAGTGCAGATCAAGCCTTCAGAGAGGCGGACAGATCAGGAGAAAGCCGTTTTGAGGGCGCAGGGCCCGCTACGCCGTCTCCGGCGTGACGAGAAGCTGAAGGCATCCTGCTCAGTGGTAAACCCAGTTGGATCTGCCAAGTTCAAGCTCCAGGACTTTCTGCCGGAGAAGCTTGAGGCCTGGAGCTACCGCAGGGACACGGGGATTCGCCAGCACACCAACGCCATGCGCGCCATTGCCAAGGCGCTCGAGGACAACATTGCCGTTGTCTTTCACGGGGGCCATGGTTCTGGAAAGACGTCTCTGGCCATGACGCTGGCGGACCTTTATGCCGCAAGGCGAGGCCAGGAGAGCTGGTTTTGCGCGAGGAGCATGGAAGGCCTCAAGGAGATCACAAGCTTCATTACCGAGGGCTCCATCATTTTGCTGGATGAGGCCAAGGTCTCCAGCAGCTCCAAGGACCACGTCAAGATGCTCCTGAGCAGCGACAATGGCCAGATGGATGCAAGATACAAGGACGTGATGCTGCCTCCGAACACACGGCGGATGTTCACCATCCAAAGCCTCCAACGCCTGAGCAGCAGCTTTGAGTTCCTGGACTGTGGCATGCCGGACAGCGATGATTTCCAGTCCAAGGAGCTCGGCGAAGACGACCTGGCAATTCTCCGCCGGGCGCTGATTGTGCGGGCGCAGGACACCTTGTTCGTGCCCCGGGCAGGTGACGCAGAGGATGACGAGCTAGATGATGAGGAAGCCTTTGAGAGAGTTTTCGGATGTGCCGCCTGAGAGCTTTGTTTTTTGGCCGCCGTACAGCAGGCTAGGACGAGCGATCAGAGTTTGCAGGATCTGTGGACAGTGGCTGGAATGAGGATCATTCCGCCTTGTGCGAGATGAAAATAGCGGTGTCTTCTCAGTGCTCTTTGGGTTTGCAAACGATTCTTTCAGTTGTGTCTTGAGCATCATTCTTTCGGAGACCGAGCACAGTCATGATTTTGACACAAACGTTTTGCACGGAGTCTTTGGTTGCAACGTTTGGGTTGTTTGTTGGTGTGGCAGGGCTTTGCGCCAATCTTGGCTTGAGACTACTTGTTGCATGAGATTCTTCGAAAGTTTGGAGCTGGAGCAAGGCGCGTATTTGCCCCTCCCCGTTGAAAGGCTAGGGGCTGCGCGATTCTTTCCCCCCAACCGCACTGCGGCTGTTCTTTTTGGGGCGCCCGCCTAAATGCGCGTTTTTGGCTCGAGTTGCGGATCTTGCTGGATGATGCGAAGTTTGGCTAGAGTTGCGGATCTTGCTGGATGATGCAGATCTTGCTGGATGATGCGAAGTTTGGCTCGAGTTGCGGATCTTGCTGGATGATGCGAAGTTTGATTTGATCTGCTGATGTTGCTGGGACCCTAAACCCTACATTTGAAGGTTTGGCTCGAGTTGCGGATCTTGCTGGATGATGCGAAGTTTGGCTCGAGTTGCGGATCTTGCTGGGGACCCCAAACCCTAAAGCTTGGATGTTTGGCCCAAGATGTCTGTTATCAGCCATCCAAGGCCCTCAGTCGATGGTCCTGGGCCGCAAGGGCTGCCCCAAGAAGTCGTCCAGCTGCCTCGCAGCAGCGGGCCTGCCTTGCCTCGTCAGCCGGGCCGCCGCGTTGCCGCTGCCCTGGGGCGCCGGTAGGGCCAGCTTCAGCAGGGTCTCGCGGCCCTCGGTGCTGCGGACGGTCATGGAGTCCACGGCGCCCAGCTGCTGCACGTCGCCGTACTGTGGGTTGAAGCTCCTCGCCGCGTTGGTGGGAGCCCGGAACGCCCCAGCGTCCTCCACGGCCTTGATGCGCCGGTCCGTCAAATCCTTGTTGTGCTGGAACTTGTCGGCGTTGTCCTGCAGCACCCTGAACTCCGTCGCCGGCCGCTTCTCCACGTCCTCGGGGGCGCCGTACACCGTCTCGTGCGGCCGGGCGTTGTAGGCCCCCGAGGCCTGCTCGAAGTGGTCGCTCCACTGCCCGCCCTTGCGGGCCACGCGCGTCGCCAGGTCCTTCTTGAGCGTCTGTATGCCCCGGTCGATCACCGCGGTGGCGTTGCGGTCCTCTGGCCGCTTGGTGCGGTGCACAGCCTCCTCGGGCAGCTCCCGCTCCAGGGTGGCGAATTCGTTCCCCAGATCGGTCGTGACCACGAAGTTGCGCTCCTCGCCCACCAGCTCCCGCGCCGCCCGCTTGGTGGCCTGCCCCACCGCCTCTGCGGTCTTGCTCTGCAGCGGCTCCACGGCCGCCTCGCGGGTGAAGACGTCCATTACCACCAGGCCGTACTTGGTCTTCCCCCTGGTGTTCTGGCTGAAGTCGATCAGGTCGGCCTGCAGCCGGTCGTTGGGCCCCTCCGCGGCCGACTTGCCGAGGGCCCGCGGCCGTGGGGCCTGCACCTGCCTGCCCACGTCGGGCTTCAAGGCCTCCATGGCCATGGCCTGCGTCACATCGAGGTCTCGCTGCCTCGCGAGGCGGTACAGCTTGCGGGGGTCCCGCACGTTGAAGTCGTCGGCGAGGTCCCTGAGAGCGTCCATTTACTGGGTCGCCTGCCACGCCTCCAGCACGTCCAGCCTGGCCTGCAAGCCCTTGCACACGCCCCAGAGCACGCTGGTGAGGTGCGAGTAATCCAGGGACACCATCTCGGTGCCGTCGTGCCACTTGGTGGTCCCCGTCAAGTTCCATTTAGCCCCCACGAAGTCGTCAGATGCGAACCCCAGCCTCAGGTCGCTGTTCATGTCTGGCCGCTTGTACTGCTTCGCCTCCACTGAATCGAAGAGAGCTTGCAGTTCCCCAAGATCGGCCTCCGCGATCTCCGTTTTGACCCTGCTATCCGACAAGTCGGTGAAGCTGGTGTTGCAGACCACGTTGCCGGTGTTGCCGGCTATCACCATACAGCCAGGGTTACGCTGGTTCGTCGTGAGCGACAGCTGCGTCGAGAGGCTCATCGTCTGGATCAGGGCCTCGTCGTTAATCATGATGAGCTCGCACTGGTGCGCTCCAGAGTCCCTCTCGAGGAAGACTCTCGCGGACTGGTTGCCGAGAAGTCGAAGCTCCGGCCCGCTATTGGAAGCGGTGCTATTGTTGGAGATCTGCACCTTGCTCCAGCCCGCCCAGTTCTTGGTCAGAGATAGGTCGTCCGAGAAGTCGGAGGTGTTGGTGACCGAGAGCGTGTTACTGGCGAAGAGTTGCGGAGCGGAGACCGTGCCAGAGCTCGTCACGTCGCCGCATGCCACGCTGCCAGTCGACACGCCGCCGCTCGTTGCGGTGAAGGTGCAATCCAGGCTGTCGCACGTCAGTGCTCCCGTGGAAGCCGCGCCGGTGATGGCAAGGGAAGCGCCGGAGACGGCTCCGGAAGCAGTGAGCGTGCCCGTGGATACGTCCCCGACCGTGGTGAAATTGCCAGCATTAGCAGTATTATTAATCGTGAGGGTGCTTCCGGTGATCCCAGTGGCAGAGGTCAGCACGCCCACGCTGGCTGCCCCGCCGATGCTAAGCGAGCCGCCGGTAACGGTGCCTGAGGTGCTGAGATCGTCTGCCGTGAAAGTGCCGGCGACTGTCATTGCGTCGCAGCTCACGGCGCCGGTGGCGGTGAGGCTGGCGCACGAGATCGCTCCCGAAGCGTCCACGCCCGTCGTGTACACGTCCGTGCAGTTCACGTCGTTGCACAGCAGCTGGTCGCAGCCCACGTTGCCTTGCGCCGTGAGCCCATCCAGAGTGGCCGAGCCAGTCAGTGCCAGCGTGTCGCCAAGCAGATCCGTGACCGAGACCGCTTCGCCCTCGAAGGCGATGGCCTTGATCTGGAGGCTGTACAGATCCAGAAAGCCGGCGTTCTGCTGCACCAACCCTGGGATGGTCCCACCGAAGGCGCCGAAGTGCACCTTGGCGACGCCGCTGGGGGGGACCGCGAAGTCCATGCGAGCCGTGCTCCAGACTCCCGCGGCGGGCGTGCCCAGGAAGCTGCCTGTAATGCCTACGTAGTCGTTGTCTGCTGCAGATACGTACATCACCAGGTTGGTCGCAGTGTCAAGGCGGTAGCGGCAGCCGAACGAAAAGCGCCGGCCCGGCGTGAGGCTGTAGGTCCTCACGATGTTCCACGCGAAGGCGCTGAGCTGCATCCGATATCCCGAGATGGTGTAGCTCCCCACGGTGTACTCTGCCGTGGCCACGCTGGATTGGCTGTTGCTCCGCACCACGAAGTTCGTGAGTAGCGTGTTCGCCGGGTCCTGAATCACCTCGCCCAGGCTCGCCAACGTCACGTCGTCGGCGCCACCGTCAAGGAAGTTGTGCGTCAGAAGCACCTCCGAGGCGGCCTGCTGGGCCTCAGCCTCGCCGCTCTCGAGGGTGGCGTCCAGGATCTGGAGGCCGTAAACATCGACGGTGCCGGCTGACTGGTTGGGCAGCCCTGCGGCTTGAAAATGGGCTCCGAAGTGCAGCTTTGCGGTGCCGCTAGGCGGAACCTCGAAGTACATCTTGGCGGTGGCCCAGGCGCCCTGGACGTCGCCCACAAAGCTGCCGTAGAGCGGGTTATAGACGGCGTCCCCGTCGGTGAGGTAGATTATCAGATTGGCCGCAGTGCCCAGGCGGTACCGGCAGGCGAAGAGCAATCGCCTGCCCGGCGCGAGGCCGTAAGATCTCACCAAGCTCCAGGGGTTGGCCCCGAAAGTCAGGGTGTAGCCGTCCACACTCTGAGCGTTGACCGTGTGGGTGGCCAGGACCACGTTGCTGCCGCTGCTGGGTCGGATCGCCCAGTTGCTTAAGGTGACGTCCGTGGGGCTGAGGATCTGCTCCCCTATGGCCGCCACGACCTCGTCGGCACTGCCGTCGTCGGGGAAGCGCACCGCTACCTCCAGAGCCGTGGCGGAGTCGGCGAGGCCTAGCTTGCCGGCAAGCAGGGAGTCAACCTGCGTCGAGGTGTAATAGGCGAGCAGGGCCGCAGCGATTGCGCTGGCGGTCTCTGTGTCCTGGTCGGCAGCCAGGCGGTAGGGCAAGAGGGCCGCTGATATCTGGCTGCTGGTGAACGTGTCCTGAGCTGGCCCGGTGCGGTATGCTAGCAGTGCGCCCGCGATGGCCGCCTGGGTCTGGGTATCTTGGGAGCTCGCCGTTCTGTAGTCTGTGAACAGCACGTCCACTTGGGCCGCTGTGTAGTGCGCAGTCAGCGCCGCAGCGATGGCACTTGCCGTCTCCCCGTCCTGAGCCGTTGCCGTGCGGTAGTCGACCAGCAGCGTGTCCACTTGGGCCGCTGTGTAGTAGGTCAGCAGAGCTGCCGCGATGGCACTTGCCGTCTCGGTATCCTGGGCCGCCGCGGTGCGGTAGACCGTGAGCAAGGTGTCCACCTGCGCTGAGGTGTAATAGACCGCCAGGGCTGTTGCAAGCGCCGCTGATGTGGCGGAGTCGGCCTCTGCAATGGAGTAGCTATCTGAAGCGATGCTCAAGGTGTTGTCGGTGTTCACCAGGCTCGCCGAAAGAGGCGATTCAAAATGGAGGTTCCGGATGACGTTGGTGCCTTGCAGGAGCTCCCAGGTAGTCTGTCCCGCCCAGGGCGGCGCATTACTGACTCCGCCTCCAGCGGACTGAAGGGTGGCCAGGTCTGCCAAGATTGCGTCGAGGCTTGCCTGCAAAACTGTCTCGCTGGTCGAGAGGGCTGCGTTGGTGGCGTAGGTCGCGAGGAGGCTCGCGTCGGCCTTGGAGGCTTGCAGACCTGCGAGTGTGGCGTCTCTGACCGCCAGCTCCGAGGCCAGCTGGGCCACTGTGGCATAGGGCAGCAGAGCATTAGCAATCTTTCCATCTACCGTGAGGGCTGTGTCGTACGCTACCAGGGCGCTAGCGTCCGCCTTGGCTGTAATGGTGGCGTCCCTGGAGGCGAGCTCGGCTGCTAGAGTGGTCG